GCTTTTCTCACGCAGACTGTTGCCCTTCAGAGGTTCCGCATTTTCTGCTACTAGTGCTGCACTTACCACTGGACAGCCGTTCAAATGCTTGCTTTTACTCCTGTTTTCCTCTGTTGTCAGAGAGTCCAGCTGTAGGGAGTTTGGAGGCTGAGGAAGCTTTTGGGGACCTGCAGCAGTGTCTCGTTTAATTGGAAATGGCAATTCAGACTAAACGGCGTATTTTCCGAATACCCAAGGCTGGAATAAAGGATGTCAGGAAAAAGTATAAACGTTCCAAATTACGGCACTATTGCTGTGCATATTTTGGGCAGTTCAATACATATCATACAGGCAACTCGGGGCATTTCGGTCGTTTTTCTGCTACCATACAAACTAATTTCCAGTAATTGTAAATCTTCTAAAAATTATTCCTGCATACGTGTATAAACTATATAATTAATTCACGAAGAAGCTATATTTACGTGAAACAACCCTGTTCCACGAGCGCTTCCAGGATCATCAGACGCAGGGCCTTTAAAACATCTGCGAACCAGCGCATGCAGAGTGGCAGCGCAGAGCCCGGGTCGCGAGCTAATTTGCCGACCAACCAAAGGCCCTTGATATAAATGCCACTTCAAATGCCTTGAAAGCGGGATGTAATATCGTTCTATATCATGAACATGCAAGGAACAGAATTCCAGCGTCTGAAACACTTCCGCCACCACTTCATGGTTCCCTCGCAAAATTGCCTTGTGTCGTGTGGACGGACGGCGAGGTTCATCGGCGGAATTGCCTCCGCCGATAGCTTTCGGGATTTGTAACACAATTTTAAAGGTAAAAGGGTAAAGCAGGCTTATAAAATGTACGGAAGTACGTCTATATCGGCTTAACTCAACGTCTTGTACACCGGGTAAACGAAGTCCAGCTCCTCGACGAGCTTGCGGGCACACGACGCCAAACCAGGAAACCGGTGCATGGGAAGCGAGCCGGTGCGAGATCGAGGAGCGGGGTCCTCCCCCTGACGTCACGGTACACCTCACCCAATTAGGGCGCGGCGACCGCAGCGACGCTTGTGTTCGCTCTCGGGGCTAATAGCAGCCTACAAGTAGAAGCTGGTCTACCTAACCGGCCCGAACATAGGTAACTCCGATGCGTTGAGTCGCTTACCGTTACCAGGAGACAATTTCCAACTTCCGCGGCCAGCTGATGTATTCATGTTGGAAGCGGCGTACCCCGCTGTTCTCTCCGCCGCAGTTGTTGCACAGCATACCGCGAGTGACTCAGTGTTGTCAGGAGTGAGACAGGCACTGTGGTCCGGTAGCGATCTCCCAAGAGGACCACAGTGGTCGCCTTTTCGAACAAAGCTGACAAAACTCAGCGTCCGAGAAGACTGTCTACTGTGGGGATCAAGAGTGATCATCCCACTCAAGTTACAAGAGCAAGTACTTCAATTACTGCACGAAAGCCATCCATGAGTGGAGAAGATGAAGTCCATTGCACGAAGTCACGTCTGGTGGGATGGGCTAGACCACAGTATCACGGCAGGGCTTCAAGATTGTCGTGAATGCCAAGAACATCACCGTTCCAATCGGAAAGTACAGTCAACCCCGTGGCCTTTTCCAGAACGGCCTTGGTTCCGCTTACATGTTGATTTTGGTGGTCCATTCCACGAATGTTATTTCCTGGTCTTGGTCGACGCATTCTCGAAGTGGGGTGAGGTTATACCGGTATCGTCACCCTCTGCTGATGCTACGATCGAATGCATTCGGAACATTTTTTCGACACACGGTCTACCAGATATTGTCGTTTCGGATAACGGTCCGGCCTTCGTAAGCGACAAGTAGAGCGAATTCCTAAGCCGCCTTGCAATCCGACGTATGCTGATTCCACCTTACCACTCAGCATCAGACGGAGCTGCGGAACGCGTCGTGCAGACCGTGAAAGGAATGCTGAAGAAAGCGTCATCTGGAGATTTTCAGATCAAGATTGACAGGATGCTTCTGACATACAGAACTACAAAGCATTCACTAACAGGTCATAGTCCAGCTGAGCTGCTAATGGGCAGAAAGTTAAAGACAGCCCTAGACCTCCCACATCCGGACATGCGGAGTGCAGTACTCTGGAAGCAGCTGAAGCAGAAGAAGCAGAAGCTGAAGCAAGGAGCACGCAAAGGCATTCTACCTCAGCATGGTCAAAAAGTGTTTGCCAGAAATTTTAGGTCAGAACCTTCATGGCTTCCTGGGGTTGTCATTCAACCATCGAGTTCATTATCTGTGCAAGTGGAACTGAGAGATGGGACTCGTTGGAACCGTCATGGTGACCATCTTCGTGAACAACGTCTTCCACCTGTGACACCCTACAGAGAGCACGGGGCAACCGACTCCTCAGCTGAACGAGGCAGGTCAACCGGATCTTCCGGGAGCGAAGATCCTCATGAACCAACAACAGTACATCCTGACAGAGGACCTCCTCGAATTCAGGAAGTTTCATGCCAGACGTTGCCAACCATCCAGACTCCGAGCAGTCCACAAAAACTACGCTCTACCAGAGTAAAAAAGCCCGTAGATAGTTACAGGCCTTAGACTATAGTGACCCGAACTTGACGTCTAGGTTTTGAGACAGTATTGTTGTTCCTTCGTATAAAAAGGGGAGGAGTGTGATATAGATGCTAGCGGCGCCATGCATTCGTGGCGCGAGAATAAAGAGAAGTGTCTGGCATCTCGAGCTGCCTGCACACGCACGCTCAGAACCGATAGTGTTCATTCCTTCCTGCCTCCGTTTTACTCGGGAAAGCTTATAGTGACGAGCGATGAAACTTCTATTCTCGGGGTCAACTTACCGTGCGATTTCAGTAGCGAAGTGTGCTCGGGCAAAGCTTCGACTAACGCTCGAGGTGCACGACCGCGCGAACGCCTGCCCGTAGAGGCTTCCGGAATTTTCGAGAGGGTGAAAACACTGCGAAGCCGAATCGCGTTATCGTGGTAAGTTACAGCCAGAACGTGAAATCTAACAACCTCGAAATGCAGGCCAGCACGCGATTCAAGGAGTTATGACGGCAGAGAAGTTGATTCAGTGCAAATTTGTGGGATCAAACGAACTGCCCGGAACACATATAAACTTACCTGATGTCCTTACTCGGTTCTTTAGTTGTTTAGAGTTATGCTCAAAACCGAAGAATCAACGAGATTTCTTCTGACTGCGATAGTTGCAGCAAGCAGGTACGAAACACACTCCCATATTGCGAGCCTACAAACGAAATTTGGGATATTGAACCGATCTTGCAGTTAGAGTCAAAATAATTGCTCTCTCATTATAATTCACGTCAGCTGCAAAATAATAAAGTAAGTCTGGCGCTGCTTTGATATCATGTAATATGCAGGTGTTTCTCTCGATGTATTTCTAGCTGATCTCCATGTGATTATTTTAATCAGATAGGTCGCGTATCGCACGCAACAACAATCCGCTTTTATAAACCTAATAAGTTTTCTGAGACCTGCCATTTTACAAAAAATACGAGATCAAAATCGTATCATTATTCAAACGATTTCAACTGTTGCAGACGAAATACATGAGTCTTTCCGCATGCGTTCGCCGTCTACTGCAGTGGTTGCAGCGCAAGCATCTCGAGACATCTCAAGGCCGGAAGTCGCCATTGTAAATATTAAAAAAAACAGTCAATTCTCCGCAAATTCCTGTCGTTGTAAGTGTGAGATCTGGGCTTCCTATTTCTATTCAATTTAGCCGTTCAAATTTCACGTCCGATTGTTGACCGATGGTTCTTTCCCGGAGCGAAATCCACTCCCATTTATTCGTCCATAACAACGTCCCTAGCAACGATTTTATTTTTGTATCAGTGACGTCACACTTCTGGGTCCCGACACAAATCCGTCCCGACACAAATCAAGACATGTATGAATTTCAAGGATCGACTACACTGCAACCCACTTATAACGATAATGAGAAAACCCGAAATTTCAATCGTTATAACCAATTCTCGTTGTATTTCGACTAGAAACTGATCAATTCAAGCCTAGAAACTCAAGAAACTGATCGTTATAAGCGGCACATCGTTATATGTGGCATCGTTATAAGTTGGTTGCACTGTACTTTCGAACTGCTCGTTAACCACGGGGAAGGTCAATTTATGATTGTGTTTTTCTTCTTCGCCTTGGGCAGTTCCGCTAAATTTTTCACATCTAACCAGGAAGGTGTTTTCTTTTCGCGTACTATGTTGTATGTTCGGACAACTGCCGATCAAATGGATCTAGGAGGCTATAATTCGTTTAATGTCTAATTTTGTATTTTTTTTTTTTTGATTTGAAGAAAGGCAGTTACAAAGAGAGTTGAAGGTTACTGGTGATATAAACAGCTACCACCCTCGAGTTTGATGCCATGCCTCAGTTAGTGTGCCTATTGAATTAATTGGAATGTGTTATTGTGTATGTTCTTACTATTTTAGATCACGTTTACCTCTAAGTGATGATATTTGAAATATCGGCTGCTGCAACCCAACAAAAAAAAAGTCAATATTGGTGTTGAACATCTGGAATGGCAATGATGTGTATACAAATGAGCACGCCGTGCTCCCATTTGTTGTTTCTTGTTTTTCAACTATCAATTTAAACCACACCAACTTGTCAGCGGAACAGTGAATAATTTATTCCAAAGTAGACATGCTACAATCAAAGCATCAGCACAATGTCTTCTCTTGGCGGCGTTAGTAATCTTCAAAGCACACGCAGTCCACAATGGTTACAGCTCTTCAAGCGACACTCGGTTCTTTTTGACAAAATATGTCAAAAATACGCATTCCATCAGCTGCTCAATCTAGCCACGCAAGCCACTTGCATTCAAAGCTTTTCAAAATCAGCTTTTGCCCTAGGCCGTTTCAAATATACAACTATGACCACCGGGCATCTACCTGGCATGCTAGGAAGGATTACAGTATTTCCGCAAGAGAGACGTCAACCCAGCGTGTATCGCGCGCAAAACAGAAATAAATTTAGTATGGTGGTATTTGTTCACCGTAGTGGTATCGTCAATAAGAGTTCGAAGTACAACTTTGAGACGGGCAGTTTTATCGGTCGATCTACGAAGCGAACAAAAGCAAAAGTGAGCGAGTATACTTCGAACCTTCACGCACACATGCACATATAGAAACGCCTGCGTGGAGAGCCAGCTCACATCACAACAGCGCGGTTTCCAAACAAATAAACAATCAAACAAGCACGGAAAGCTCACAAAAAGCCCCACAGTTCGTCGTTGGTGCCCGGCTCACATCCACCAGCCGCCGCCGCCTCCACGTCCTCCTCCGCCGTGTCCTCCGCCGCCGCCACCATGGCCCATCATGCTCATCTTACCGCCACCTCCCTTTTTGATGATGATGTACGTGGTTCCAACCTTAGAGCCTCCTCCTCCTCCTCCTCCATGGCCTCCACCGCCGCCCATCTTCCAGCCTCCACCACCGCCTCCCATCTTCCAGCCACCTCCGCCGCCTCCCATCTTCCAGCCGCCTCCTCCGCCGCCGTGACCGCCGCCCATCATCCAGCCAGCCATCGGCATCCATCCACCGCCACCGTGGCCGCCGCCTCCCATCCAGCCACCGCCCCCGCCACCGGACTTCCAGCCGCCACCCATAGGCTTCCAGCCGCCACCACCTCCCATCATCTTCCAGCCTCCTCCGCCGTGGCCTCCTCCGCCCATCATCTTCCAGCCGCCGCCTCCGCCGCCGCCTCCGCCGCCATGACCGCCGCCGACGGGATGCAGTTCCTTGATTAGGTAGACGTTGCCCGTGCGGAACTTGTGCTTCATGGTGGGCATCATGCCTCCCTTGAAGCCCCCTCCTCCTCCGTGACCGCCCCCGCCACCCATTTTCCAGCCACCTCCGCCGCCCCCGCCACCCATTTTCCATCCACCTCCGCCGCCCCCGCCACCCATTTTCCAGCCACCTCCGCCTCCTCCGAAGGGTGATGCCAAGCTGAGACTGGCAGCGGTCAGTGCGGCCAAGGCGACACCCTGTGGCAGTAAAGGAAGCAGTTGAAGGCCATTGATCCGTTGAAATCATAAGACGAGGTCCATCACAATCTCAGTAATAAACATACTGCTGATCGCCTGGTCATGATACATCCGATACCTATTTTCTGCATCAATTGCTCTTATATTATTGGAATTGTTAATATTCAATTTAAGTCGAAAATAAAATATCGCGTGCTACAACAAAATATTGTGCAGAGTGAAAGTTCGTGTGCTCTTTCCGCACTTCGTGCGTTTGTTTATCCTTCCGATGTGCGCACGTGCTTTTGTTTCACCCCGACTTCAAGCAACGACGGCGCGCGCTTCGCTGTCTCGTCATCGCGCTTTCCTTGCTCGATCTTTACGTGTCCTTTTGATTGGTGTGCTCCTCCTCGCGCTCCGATGCGCGAAAGACGCTTTTCATAACACTTGCTCTTCGTATTAAACTAAAATCACCGACGGAAATAAATCTCGAGTTTCTATTGAAGGAAGTGACGAGGGTTGTATGTTTGCAGACACCCACCCACAAATAAATTCATAGAATTATTTATGTGAGGAGGAATACTTGCTTTTTCGTCCAGAACTTTATATATAGAAACTTCTATGCAGCAAGTGACCTTATTATATTTTTATGCGCTTGTCTGCTCCAAAAACGCGGTAGGTGCTTTAGATTGAAAGAATAGATTTCTGGTAAAGTAAATACAATACACAACGCCGCCATACGTGATATGAGTAGCGTATTCTTTTTTAGTAGAGCGGTCAAACTTTAACTAAACAACAGTGAAAATAAATATCTCAGACATTTTTTGCCACGCGGGTTTTTAAATTTCCAATGTACGTCTTTACAAGTTTACATTCTGATAATTGTTATCCACGGGCAAACTCATACATACACTCTGTACAACAGTAACGCTAGGTATGGCACACACTAGAACACAGGCGACAAATGGCAAAATCGGTATATTCTTTCACTGTTTTTCATTCAATGTACGTATACATGTATGTATACATAAAATGCTTATCAGAAACAAGAGAACTGAAAATGAACAGTCAATACCAAAGAGGCTCATGTGACTGGACACTGGCGAACCATCGTCGAATCACAGGACAGTCTCTGATTTCGAAAAAAAATCTGCCGTCAGCTCTTCAACACTACAAGCGAGGAATAGCTTATAGCTCGGAAAATGGGAAATATACGTGCAAATAACCAGCGTAGGGTTATTCTCCAAACTCGATGGGCTCTTGCCACAGGAGAAAGGCGAAGACGGTAAGAAACTTCAAACACCCCAAAGACCGTCGACGGCTCAACTCACCCAAAGTCTCATGTTGGGAGGTGTATGTCCTCGGAGCGATGCTGCACACAACTTGACTGAAAATCCCCAACTCCGGCGGCTTTTATACCCCTCTTCCCAGTGCGAAAACGGCGTCACCCATAGGGTTTCCGCTCTCCCATTGGCTCCTGCGGTCACCGTCGTTTACATCGTTAGCCTCTGCGGGGACCAGATTCTTCTCAAATTCTCGCACGATTCTAGACGTTCCTAAATTTCCGATTGGCCACGCTCTGGCTCGACGGCTTCCAGAGTTATTCCACGCTCTTACAGGGGCGGCACGACCCTTCCATAACGCTGTCCTGGCTCTGAGACACGTGTCTTTGTTGTCGCGACGTGAAGGCATCACAGAGGTGTCTTTGACGTCATCACCTTCTTGCAAAGTGTGCCGACGGAGCGAAACCGTAATTAAGGGCGCCTGTGGCCAGTGATTCTGCGCATCCTGAGAAAACACGGCAAGCGTATCATATTATAGCCTTCACGCCTTTCACTCTGAACGCCGCAGTCATTTTGTAGGGACCGTTAAGCGAACGTGGCAAAAGTTAAATATGACACGTGATCATGGATAGTAGGACCGATGCAGGGAAAAGAAAAAGGGAGTTGGAAAGACGGACAGAGAAATGAGCGGTGAGTAATGGGTCAGAGACTCCCGCCAATTCGCGAGGAATGGTCTTGGCGTGATGAAAGGGGACTTGCGTTCTACAAGACCTCAGAGCGGCAGCTGTAGTAGCCGTGGTAAAATTACGTAAAGTGCTCCCGGCACTCAGTAATATCTCTTGTATATTTTAGCTAAACTGTCGAAGTTTCACATTAACTCAATTGGAAGTTCAAAGATGCACCTGTTAAAAGTTTAGACAACCGGATAAGTTTTAGTTCTCGTTTGATGGACCATAAATCAGTCATGAACATGAAAGCTCACAAACGTGAACATCTGTTGATAAATACCGGGTTATGCGTCTTATTTTCTCTTAAGAGAATATAAATAAACTTGCAAATGTGAAATTGTGGCTTTGGAATATCCGCATTCATGTTAATTGACTATACTCGTTTTCATTTCCACGATTGTAGTAAAATATTTGTTCACCTAATGAAGGGTTACTGATTGTTTCCCTCTCAGTGTGGAATTTAGACATTCTAATGAAAATTTAAGGCTTGTTATTTGTTATTTTATAAAAGTAGACATGCTTCAAAGCTCAATAAATCGTTTTTCCCCTTAAACCCAAATATCTTAAAGTAATACTGAGTGCATTGCGTCGGAACTATGCTCAATATTTTCGATGTTCAAAATTCTGTACAACTCTTCATTTCCATTCATAGAATACTAAACGATTGCGAATGAGACCGCAGGTTAGCGAAAAATAGAAATGTATGGAATATTATTTCGTAATTAATGTTTTTTTTTTGTTTTTTTTTTTTTTGTGAAAGTAAAGTTTATTTTTTACTTATTTTTTGAGACCAATACTGTATTCAATTTCCTGAAACGTTTTTCTAAATACGTTGAAGATTTCGGGTTGCTCAGGTTTTTCAGACAGGAACATTGCTGCCCCGCTCGCATCGCACGAGTCTGTCAGGGGTGAAGCTTGGTTGAAAATGTACACTCGTACATAATTGATACTGTGGTTGTTTTAGGCCAAAAAAATAAAGATTATTAATATTCCATGGCGCTTTTAATTTTTACCTAAAAAGAGCAAATGTTTAAAATTCCGAGAAATATAACCGCCATCGAGTATGATATGCTATTAAAGAGAGGTGTGTGAGGTCTACCAGGGGGGGGGGGGGGGGGGGGAGGGGAGGGAGGGGGGAATGACGTTCATATTTGAGTCGATATTCAAAGATGATCTAAGAAGGTACTTTGGAGACAGAGGAATGTATTCTGTTGATTATTCACGGTGATCGCGTCAGTAACAAGGTTCAGCACCTAGAGAATTCTTGCTTGCATTTCGTGAAATAGCATTTGTAAATTGCTCACGCGTCTGTTTCCCACCAGACGACACTGGAAGTCAATTACTGCGATGAATAGAGACTCCAGTCAATGATGAGGCTTATTACGATAATGCAATTAATGCAGATGTTCCGGCGAGCTGAACAAGAATGACGATATTAATCTCCGGAGAAAGGGATCAAGGGGGACAAAGGACAAACACAGAACCCCAAGCACAGCTACTTGACTGGTGCGCGACCGAAAAAATTCGCCTGATCCTGGTACCGAAACCGGAGACCCCTCCATTAATAAAGAGTACCCACTGTTTGATCAGGACCCGGCAGATTGTTTATGTTGATGGACGAAGAGCTTTTTGGTGCGGCACAGGGTTGAAGAAAGAATAAAAATATAAGACAAAGACAACACAACAACATCTTCTGAAATATGTGGTTGCGTAGTACTTGTCTTAACATGTTTATTAATACGAAAGCAAATGGGGAGTTTTCGTAGACCGCATCTCCCCCTCCGCTAACCCCTCCGCAACGAAGAAGCCGATACTGCGCCTGTGCGCCGATGGCCTTGACTGTAGAGTTCTGGGTATCGTAGCGGGTTGCTGAGAGCATTGCGGGACGGCGAAAAACATCTACTAAAACTCCCGATTAACTATCCCATGGAGCGGGGCCGGCGGCGTCTGTAACCGCGAAAAAACGCGAAAGAAATGCCCATTCTCCCATTGGCTGAGCGAAGCGACTCTTAGATAGCCATTGGCAGTCGCTTCACGAGAGCGCGCACTCGGCCGCCGGCCTCATCCTTGGCAGTAGCGAAATGTGGTCGTCCAGGCCAGTACACCGCAGACGAACTAAGGGAGCAGAAAAGTGACATTCCTGCTTTCGCATTTACATCTCATAAAACGTGCATAGGTGTCCTCGAATTTTTCTTTCTTCAAACCTGGCAATTTTCTGTGCTAATGTTCACGCACTGAAATAAAAAAAAAAAAAAGCTAATGATATTTCGAAAAGCCTGGAGTCCCGACGCAATATTATATATTTTTGAGGAGTTGTAGACAAGCAGGGTTGGGGAAACACTGAACTAAGTAATATCTTTCCCCGCCAAAATTACCCCGAATACTTCCCAACTAACTAGCTTTAAAATACCTTGCCTTGACTCTTTATTTGTTTAAATTTATTTTTTTGTAGAAAAGAGCACATTACGTAAACATGATAGAGTGGTGTAATGCAGTACCAGTCTTAGAAGGTTATTCAGAAGTCTCTGCGTTCTTATCACACACTATTTATTTCTTACAACGTAGGTCTGCATTAGACTCTGCTCTAAATAGTGCTTTAACACTTTCGACTTCAAATAAAATTTACCGATTGCTTTTGTACCGGGCGTGAAAATCGTCACCTTAACTTATGAGCGTCGAATCATTTCGACTGCGTGAGTCTTGCGATTCCAGGAGTTGAACATATGCTGGAAAGTGAGATCTATATCAGAGCGCCCTTCTGCAATTATACATTGTTTAATGCGATAGTGTTTATAGGTGAAATAAACCATAAGATCGTGCGCGTTGTACGTAAGCCCACGACTTAAGGTAAAATCTATGCAAATCGATATTCTACAATCGTATCAAATGAAGGCTCGAACCGGGTTATTCCTCTGCTATGAAGGCCTGTAACCATGTGGTTAACTGCGTGACTGCATCATAAGAGCATATCTGGTGACTTGATATTACGAAAAAATAAATAAAAAGAACTGTGGGAGAGTGCACAAGCCTATACACAGCCGCGCAGCCATATCATGTAATCAAATCAAGTAATTTGACGTAATTACGAAAAATAGTGATATAACCAAAAATAATATAAATAATGCGTCCAAGGTCAAAGAATGCAAAGGAAGAACAAATTCTGTGTAGGCTGGCTCAGTCCTAGGATCAAGATAAATCAAACACGTATGAGTTATAAGAAAACAAATTAGATATACTGGTCACCACCGTAATGATTTTAAGTTCGTCCGTGCTTTAACAGACTTGGTGCCGTCTGCGCAAACCAGCTGCGAGCTTAGAGAGATGGCGCTGTAGCGTGATTTGGAGTATGGGACGTTACCACAAAACAGATGCGCGTAGTAGTAGCGCGCACTGGCTTTATCTAGGGACCTCCGTCACCAGCGGGCAAATTATCTTAAATCACAGAGTAATATAGTAAACGTAAAAATAGGACAGAGAAGCCGATTTGCGGCCCAGATACGTGCGTCTGCTACCGCCCACTCAGCGGCGCTACTGTGTAAAATATTTAAAACTCATTATGGGGGTTTCGCGAATACATACCTCGGCAGAAAGTTGTGATGTTTTAAGGCTATTTTGGGACTCTACTACGCTTAAACCACTTCCATATTTTGTCTCACATGTAGACCACGTGTCTTATGCAGCCGGCGGCAGCGAGCGTCCACGGGTCTCGCCGGCCCCGCGTGGTCGCAGGCAGCCGCTTTCTACGTAACTGTCCGCATCGTGAGCAGCGGGATGGTGAACGCCGGCACGCCGATCCGCTCGTTGTGAGTTCCTGGAACGAGCTTTCTACGCAGTAGCTGCAGTCAGGTGTCCTCCCTTGAACAAAAGGTAACTTCATGGGTTCGTACCGCTTCGTCGAAACACGTTTTATGGAAACGTCGAAACACGCTCCGAACTTTTCATGGCACACGTTTCGTAGAAACGCTTCGTGGACACGTTTCGTCGACACTGTGACGTTTCGTGGAAACTCGTTTAGTGGACACTCGCTTTTGTGACGTTTCGTCGACGACGTTTTCTTTTACCAAGTGCGTAAAGCCAAAGCGTAAATCAACAAGCGGCATCCCCCCCCCCCCCCCTTCCCAAAACAGGCGAGACGCAAAAAGATTTTTGCGAAGACAGCAGGGTTGTCTTCGACAAAACGTCCAAAGGTTGCGGTGTGTGTGGTTTCGACTAACGCGGGACGGTTTTTCAATGTAACGAACTGTCGATGAAACGTCGCATGTTGACGAAACGATCCGTGGATGCAACGAACTGATTTACATCGCATTATTCTGTCCGCCACTCATTTTGGAC